GGAATAATCCAGAGATTCCCAGATGGCAGACTACAGGTTGAAAACCACTGATCTACAGACATTATTTGGATAATCCTCCTAAGTTTTTAATATTCAGCTAAACTTGCACACTGTCCAAATGGAAGTGTAAGACCAAGAAAGTCATGAGCACCTTCTTTGTTTGAGATTTGTCATACATATCTCAATTAAGTGAATAATGATACAAAGCCTATAAACAAATGCAAATTAAAAATAATATAAAAGCTGAAAATGTGTATGATTAAAAGGTTGTGCAGATATTGACTTTACAGAGACCCAAGGAAAGACACAGGTAAAAAAAGATAGCTGTGTTTTTTTTAATTTCAAATAAGGTTAACTTAGGAAGAAAACTTAATTTTTCTAATGCATACTCCTAATGTTTTCCACAATTTTTCATTACTTTCTATAGGACCATGGCACTAGTCAAGAATGGCATTTAATCCTTATAGCATTATCTCCAGAAGTTAATATTTTCTGTCTCCAAATAGGCACTCTGTTTGACATGTTAATTTACTAAACCCAAACATATTCTCACTATATTTATTAAAAATAAATGTGTCAGTGAATCAGTTAGTGAAGAGTTAATTTTTAAATTGGGAACTTTTTCTAAAGCTTAGATTTCAGTTCCCGAAAAACCTAGAGTGCAGGGCTTTTCACCTGCTGTCAGAGTCCTATCTGTTCTCTGCTTTCTATCTCGTATCTCCTCTCAGAAAAACAAATATAATTCTATCCCTTCTCATTAACACCAGTTATTCTTTTTAAAATGTTACCTGGATCAGAAAATGGGAAAGTCTGAATTTCAAAGTCATATCAGATATGTGAGCAGAATTCTATTCTTAAGTGTCCACACAACAAGTTACAGCTTTAATAGTAAGTGCTCTGCAATATACTAGCAATCTGGAGAAATGCCTAAATCTTTCACAAGTATTTTCTTTTTCCTTTACAGCTTTTACCTTCTCACTGGCACCACAATCTAACAGGGTGCTCAAGCATGGTGCCAGCTTCAAGCACATTAAGTATTCTCTCTGCAATACGTGCASACAGTATTTTCAAATACAGTGTCACACACATACATGGTCAAAGCTGGACCTGTGTCTGGAAATGTGACTTCTGTTCAAATAGCTCCCCAGCTTGATTTCAGAAAAAACACTCTTATCTCGAAAAGACTTTTAAACATATGCTTCAGCTTCATTCAAAACAATGAGAAAGATGTGTACAAGTGCCTAACTCTTGGAATACTAGAGCATGTGCTCCGTTTTTTAAAATAATTATGAAAAAATTTAATAATTTTGCTATTTTTTTATCCTTTCTCTTCTATTTATTCTACTTGTCAATTTTCCTTGTATCTCTTTTCTGCTACAAATGCTTTAACAGACTGCAGCAATAATGCTTATAATACTCTTTGTCCTTCATTGCCAATGTAAATTTTTAGCTTGCTTCTGCTGATTTTGCCTCATACATTCAGACTGGACTAGACTTGTTTTTATCAGTCTTGCCCCTTGCAATTTTTGCCTCACTTTGCAGCTCTGCTCATTTACAGTGGTTTCTTTGTCTTTCCATCAATTGAGATGTAAAAAGGGTAATTTAGGAAAGTGGGAGGATATGGAGTGGGAAGTGAGGATGAGGAAATCTTCTTCAAAAAGTTTTGCCTGTTTTTTACCTTGTCATGCAGCCTTACATAAAAGAAGCCTCTCCTGGCCTTTGCAGACCAGACTATTTTCTCCCTGGCATATTATAGATGACCTTTCAACAAAACAGTAAAGATGTTGCTTAATTTTAGGTACACACATAAATTTTATTATCTTCAATGATCACAAGTTAAAGATAAGCATAAACTGACACAATTTGCCAAGTATGGATGAGCTTAACAATTGTTCTTAATATTCTTAATTGAATCTTTGCCTAAAGATTGGCCATGCCAGTCTTCCACCCTGCTGAAATCATTCAAACCTTTTGATACTGTGTATTATCTAGCCATGCCAACTAGTCTGATAGCCATTTCTTGTTCAGTGAGGAAAAGGCTAAGTTTCTGCCTTCGAGTCTGATCCTCGGGTGCCCCTGTCACTAAATCTTAGCTTAGCACAGCTGAACTGCAACTCTTTCAACAGCTGATCAAATGTGCATATCGTCAAAAGCAATGTAAGCTTCTGGTTTGAACCCACTCAATTATTTATTTTTAAATCGCGTATTTATTTTTAGAACAAAGGTGCTCAGCTATTCAAAATGTAATGTAGAAGCCTTTGAAACCTTTTAGCCTCCATTTTCTAGAAGAGTATAAAATAACAGGGCTACAGATGTGATATTCTCTGAATTCCTACTGAAAAATACCTCTTTGGTATAAAATCCTAAAATATGGTTAACAAAGGTAAGGTTTCAAAGTACCACGGAGTTTTCCATAACTTGGAGACACCAGGAGAAGGAGGGTATGGCTGGGACTGACATCATTCACAAGGAAACAGAGCTAAGTCAACACTGGGTGCTAGTAGAAATTCTGCCTAGAGTAACCGATAACATTCTGTGTGCCATTATCATTGCTTTTACAATGCACTGTGCTGACCA